TCTGTTCTTTGTGCCACACCATAAATTAGTTTCTGTTAGTATGTGTGTATATGTGTGTGGTATGTAGTGTATGTGTGTTGTGCATGCACTCACAAGTGAACATTAAGGGAAATAGATCAAATTTGAAGTTTGAGGCTAGCTTGGGCTACATAGTGAGCTAATCGTTCCCTATTCAGCATTCATTCTCAGCAGCTCTCTCTTAACAGTTTGCACTGGTTCTGCTTGTGCAAGGGCAAGTCAACAAGTTTGTTCTTCCACCCAGTGTCATGATACACAGTAATCCTGGCAGCGGGGAGACTGAGTCAGGTGAACGAGTTCAAGTGGAACCTGGAATACGTGGTAAGTCTTGAACAAGCAAACTTTTTTGTTTGTTTTGTTTTTTTCGAGACAGGGTTTCTCTGTGTAGCCCTGGCTGTCCTGGAACTTACTCTGTAGACCAGGCTGGCCTCGAACTCAGAAATCCGCCTGCCTCTGCCTCCCAAGTGCTGGAATTAAAGGCGTGCACCACCATTGCCCGGTGACAAGCAAACTTTTATGATCACATTAGCTAGGTTTTTAAATTGCTTTTATGTCTAAAAGTGGGTGACTATATTTTTAATGGGTCGTTCTGAAGAGAGAAGGAAACCATTTTTTTCCCACAACATACTCAAATCTTGGGCCACTTCAAATATTTGCTGTCTGTATAATGACTAGTCGAATTACTTTCTGCCATGTGCCAGGACCTGGTTTAGGCAGTCAGTTTAGTTTGCTGAGCTGGTGATAGTCTAGGAGAGGACTTTGGGGTTTTTATTTATTTGTTTTTTTTTTTTATGATTTCCATTGAAGACAAATGACTACCCAGTGCTGCTCTTATAGAATTTTAAAAATACATTTGCTCTATAAAGCAGTCAACACCAGCAATACGTGTTAGTTTTTCTTGTAGCGCTCTCTCCAGCATGAAGAGTAAATAGTCAAGGCAACGCAAGCATAATCAAGTGGCTCTGCAGAAAGCAATGACAGGAGAGTAGCGAAATAGCAAGAGAGATTTAAGTAAAGAGAAAGGAAGGCTTACATATGAGGCAGGCCTACTGACAGAGTAATGGTAGTGACAGTTACCGGATGAGCTATATAAATAGAACAGCCACTGTCCTTCAACTGACTAGAAGTCACTGTCCGGCTGCTGGAGCTCTGAAACAAGGAAGCAACCTTTGACTACTGGACTACTTGTTGACAGTAATATCCTGGAAGTCTCTTCTGTCACTTTTTAGTAAGACCCTCTAAAGTGTTTTCTTTATTTTCATGTAAAACAGGAAACCCTGTTCCTCTTCTTATTTCTTCCTGTTGATATCTAGATTTTTCTACAGAAAAAATCCTTTTTAGAGTCCCTGGCCTTTTACAGCAACAGCAAACTCTTTTATTATGTTCAGGGCATTTTTCTTGTCAAGGATCTTATCTGGTTAGAAGGTTTGGTTACACCAGTTGGTTGTTGTCTTAGGGTTTCTATTGCTGTGATAAAACACAACCAAAAGCAACTAGAGGAGGAAACAGTTCATTTTAGCTTACATTTCCACATCACAGTCTTTCACTGAGAGAAGTCAGAGTAGAAAGTGTAGGAACCTGGAGGTAGATGCTGGTGTAGAGACCATGGAGGAGTGCTGCTTACTGGCTTGCTCTTCCTGGCTTGCTCCCACTGCTTTCTTATACATTACATGATCACACACACAAGCACTGCCCTTTGTGGAATGGACTCACCCACTCAGTGATTAATCAAGAAAAGGCCCACAGGCTGCCCACAAGCAAACTGGTTGGGACATTTCCTCAGTTGAGGGTCCCTCGTCCCTAATGACACTAGCCTGTATCAACTTGACATTAAACACTAGCTAGCACAGCTGTTGAAGCTGAAGATTCATTTTTAAAAGGACTTGTCCAGCTTTTTTTTTCTCTTGAAAAGTCTTTGAGAGTTATCTATTGGGAAGGAGTTGGTCATGAATAGGGGTAGTCACCAAATTAATTTTTTCCATCTTCTATTCCCCACCTCTCGTTCTCCCCTCCCTCCCCACACCTGTGTGTGCAGGTACAGTTGCCGTGCAGAGGCCAGAGTTAGATGTTGGTTGTCTTCCTGTATTATTCTCCTCCTCATTGTCTTAAGTCTCTCACTGAACCTGTTCCTAGCTAGAGAGCTCTCAGGACCTGCCTGTCCCCAACCTCTGATGCCCAGGAAGAGAAGGGAGCAAAGTTACTGCTCAGGCTTTGATGATCTACTATTTTCTAAGCCTTAGATGGGGTAACAGATATCCTCTTTAGAGATGAGTATGCAATGGCCACCTGTTCTCAGCACCTTGAGCAGCCATGAGTCTACATTTCACTACCAAAGAAGCTTCTTTGATCAAAGTTGAGAACAGTATTTTCTACAATCATAGCATTTACAAAGCTGTTTGGCCCCATGTCCATTTAGCAACACAACAGTTTTAGGTTCCCCCTTGGGACCTCTTCAGCTATAGTCTTTTGGCCAGGTTTATAATATCAGTCATAAATTCCTTCCTGTAGGGTGGACTTCAGATACAACCAGAGTGATGTTACCTCTGGAAGAGTCATACCGCTGTTGCCCCAGTGGACACATTTTGCCTAGCAAGTCTGTATTGTAGCACACAAGGCACTACTTGGTAAGCTAGTTAATAATATATCATCTTAAACCATTAAGTTGTAGAGTATTTATTAAACAAAAATATATAATACAGAAGGGTTGTGGGAAATGTTTTTGCATGTGAGGTACTTCAAATTCTATAGTAGTCTAGATTTTAAAGACAGTATATTACACACTACAACTCATAAATCCTGATACTTCTTTCTGATAGGTAATTTTAAAGCAAAAGTAATATTAGGGCAAACAAGAAATTTCAAACACAGACTAGGTATCAGACATGAAGTTACTTTGACATTAGTTATATCAAATGTATAAATACGCTTGTATTCAAGGAAGATATTGAAATGTTTAATTGATGTGAAATCTGCCATTTGCTTTCATGCAGTCTTAAAAGTATAGAGAAAACAAATGTAGGAAATGTAGGTGAAAACGTAGGATCCAGTCTTGGACAGCAGTAATTAGACTTCATGATGGCATAAGAGTAATGCTACTCAGTAGAAAACTAGATTTTAAGCTTTTCTCAAGTAGCGATATCTGGTTAAGACACCCTTTTGTACAAAGCAGAGGCAATGCAAGAGAACTAAATTAATCTGACAGTACTCCAGTGTCTCAAGCTGCTGTTTAATAGGTTCAGTATAATAACATGTGTTTTCAACTTGAGGTAGTGGTAGATTTGGGAAGAGATTTAACTCCATGTCAAGGAGTACAAATATAGCTTGTAAATCCTTGTAGGATCACTGAATTTTTTTTTTATAACTTTTATGAACATTAAAGGGAAACTCATGGGAAAATATTAAATGAAAACATCTTTGGTATTATACCTATAATCATATTTAAACTATTCAGTTTGTTAAGGAAAATGCATAGGAAATTATAAAGTTTAAAGATTTATTACTTTTAAATTACATGTAGATATGTGGGTCTACATAGGCACCTGAGTGCTGAGCCAACAGAGACCAGAGGTATCCAGTCTTTCTGGATCTGGAGTTAGCAGGCAGTTGTGAGCCACCTGTGAACTGTGACTCTAATTCAGGTCCTGGAAAAGTAGAACACAAACTTAACCACTGAGCCATTTCTCCAGGCCCTAGAAAGTATATTTTAATACAACTATGTAACACTTTAAAATTTACATATTTTTTGCAGATACATGTTTTGCCTGTATGTATGTGTGTGTGTGTGTATGTATGTATGTCCATCCAACATGCTGTACACAAAGAGGTCAGAAGAGATCAGATTCTCTGGATCTGGAGTTATGGATGGTTGTGAGCCACCATTAGGTATAGTGAACTGAACCCAGGTCCTCTGTATATGGAACAATCCTTAACCATTGAACCATCTCTTCAGCCCCTGGGTAAGTCTTAATCCTGAGTAGTTAAGTTCTCTCTTAAGACATGTAGGAGGGAATCCTTTGAAGACCTGAAGGAAAAAGAACACATCACAAACACTTCTCTGTTCATTTTATCACGTCTTCATAAAATGCTGTGTAGTAAGCACCAAGGCACCTACTTCCCACTTATCCCCAAAATTATCTTTGAAACGAATTTATCTTTAGCTATGTTTCTACCATCATTTGTGAAACTGCAGTGGATTAAAAAACAAAAACAAAACCAGTATTGCTAAGTGGTGATACATTACCAGTACACCAAATGCAGCTAGTCATAAGAAAACCACAACAGTAGCATATATAAGGAAATAAAAACAATAGTTATAAAAGGAACATCACGTATGTCTTTTGTAGACAATGTGGTTGAAAATACAGTAGGAAATTCACTAATCTATAATTGTCCCAGTGGAGTTGATTTAGACACAGACATCAACCTAAAATTTCCTATTAATTTGATCCATCAATTTCATGCATAAAATATATCCCCAAGGGAATGGTAAGACTATTGTGTGATTTTATTTTTTGAAAGATTTATAGGAGTACACTGTAGCTGTTTCCAGACACACCAAAAGAGGGCATCAGATCCCATTACAGATGGTTGTCCACCATGTGATTACTGGGAATTGAACTCAGGACCTTCGGAAGAGCAGTCTTCTTAACTGCTGAGCCATCATCTCTGCAGCCCTATTGTGTTACCTTTAATAGCACTGCTTGATAATCAAAAGTAGGAAAGTTTCGGATAATAGAAAACGGGTATATGAATATAATGGAATATTAAAGTTTCTGAACTATGTCCCTTTTTGAAAAAATAAAATGCATGTTTACATACATGTCAATGCAATATAAAACTAAGAATGATTTTCTATTTAGTAGGATTACAGTCAATAAGATGTGTGTATGTTTTACTAAATGAATGTTTATTTCTTTTATATTCAAGAAAACATTGAGGTCTATAAAAAAAGTTTAAAGAAAAACAAAATATGTAAACCACCATTTAACAGGTTCAAGTGAGATCATGTTTTGTTAAGCTGTACAAATAAGATAGTCATAAAAAAGACAGTGATAAACAAAAGTATTTACAATTTTCCACCTCTTACATTCTGAAGAGTGAATTCATGTTTTAAGTAAGACCACATCCATCCTTTTTTCAAAGATATCCACCCTGCTTTTCAAAATATAACATAGATTGTACTTAAAATTGCATGCTAGATTGGATGTATTAACAAGCCAAGTATTGTAATGGCACCAGGATGATTTGCGTTTTACCATGTAATTCTGATATAAAAATTTAAGTCTCAATTCAATACAAGTAAAAACAAGAGTACATAAATGAACTAGCAACATAAAGTTTAAAGTTCAGGTACACACAGGGATTTGGAGTTTAACACTTAGTAAGGTACACATCCCCTATTTACATTTCCTCACTTCCTTTTGATACTCTGTAAATTCTTCCCTGTATTAATCTAAACACTCAGAACCTTCCTGCCCTTAGTGGAAAAAAAAAATTGTCCTTCTTAGATTGTAATATGGCATTAAGTCAGGAAACCCCATGGTTCTCCGTAATGTCAATGTTGAGAACATTGCACACCATTATAAACAGAGTCTTTATAAAACCATTTCTTCCATAATCAAAATCAAAGAACCGGAGCTGGGAATGTAATCCAGTGAGTAGACCTTCCCCAACATGCACCCTGGTTTGGTCTCTAATACCGAAAAACAAATAAAACCAAAAGGTACACACATACACATACCAATATAAGTACACTTCTTAAGAAAAGGGATTGAGCTGGGAATGGTGGCTTTAATCCTAGTACTCAGGAGGCAGAGGCAGACAGGTTTCTGGGTTCAAGGTCAACCTGGTCTACAAAGCGAGTGCCAGAAAAGCCAGGGCTACTCAGAGAAACCTTGTCTTGAGAAACCAAAAAAGAAAGAAGAAACAGCACTGTCAAAGACATAATGAATTGTTCAATTAAAGGATATGTCCTCCGTTGTTTTAGTTGTTGGGATATTCAGAAATAAATCTGTGGCTTTCTAGGAAGCTGCATCAAGGCAAGTGCTTTGTGCAGATCGCAAGGAGTACTCTTACCTTTATGTTCATTTTTCCCCCTATTATAATTTATTCTATTACCTTTCCTTTTGAAAACAAAAGCATAATAACTACTTTTCAAAGAAAGCTGATTTGAGAATTAGATAGCAATGTATATAATGTAATATCTGAACCATTCCAGGGACTAAAACTACTAATTTCACATGACAGGTTTTTTACTTTAAAGTCTGATAAATGTTGCTTGCACGATTGTCTAGTAAAAGTAAAAAAAATTCAAAATATTCTCTTTGAAGTAGTGAAGATGATCAACAAATACATAATCATATCAAAACTGAAATGAAAAATGACATTACTTCAAATGGTGAAGGATAAAAGAAATGATTTAACTTGTAAATAATGACCACAAATAATCAGATGTCAAAACTTAAATGAAGTTACCTCATATAGTGAAACTCCTAAACCATAATCATTTAAGGCCGCATTTGTCTGAATTGATATGTAATATAACAGCTTACCAATTTGCTTTCTTCATGTAAAATTGAACCATGAAAGAGGGTACTTTCTATTACAAATGGCTGCAGAAATTATTGTATATTTATCCATTTGCAATTTATAACAAACTTAATTGAAATTATTTTTCAAGTAAATCCTAAAAGAAGACCTTGAAATGTATCAGTGCTATTGAAAGAATACAAGAGTGAAAGTGGAGAAGCTAATGTACAAAAGAGAACAGTCAACTGAACAAGATGTCATACAGAAACAGAAACAGGTTATATAACCTCTGTGTTCTCCTGAGTGCTTAAGGTGAGGAGGAAAATGCTGTTGTAATTGTGCTGTTGTTGATTATAGCTTTTAATGTTTCTACACCCTTGACAATCTACTCCATTACACAGGAAAACCTCACAGCCAGCAGTGCAAAAACTTTATTTATAATTTGTTTCTCCTCGACACAACTTTACAAGATCTGAACTTAATCCAGTTTTCCTTTCTTTTTTTAAACATCTGCAGTCAGTCATGTAAAATGTGGGAGAAAAAAAACAAAAAACTCCTCAGCTTCCTTTCCCCACTGCTACAGCAAATTTAGGATAAGTCTACAGCATTCACTTACTTTAGCAGGCTCTGATACGGAGACATACTTTTTTATTTGAGAATCAACACCTAAAGATTTGGCTAATTGTATAGCATTTGAATCATCACTGATAAGTGTCCCAAGAGCCACAAGGAGTCTAAATGTGGCTTCTAGGTCTTGTACAACCTCCAAGATTGTACTAATTACTGACAAACATTGAGCTTTCCCTTCAATGTTATGGTCTTTATGGAAACAAACAGAATAGTTCAAGGTCAATGTAGCCAGAGCAATATGAATGTTCTTATTACTCCCCGATTTCAGTTCTATTGCATGTGACATCAGTGACTCCCTCTGGGACATCATGAGCTTCTGTCCTGCCTGACTAACAAAGCAATTGCAAAAAGTCCTAAGAGCAAGCAGCTGGTTTGCTGGCTTTCCTTTAGGGTTCAGAAGGTTGATAAGATGGCTGCTAAACTGGTCTCCTTTTTCATGGCAGAAATTCTCATTCACATTGGGATGCTTAATTGATAGCCGAAGAATGTCAAGTGCAGGAAAGACAATGTCTGTTAAAAAAGAAATATTCATTAATGTGTATGAAAAATCTAGAAAATTCCTTATCGCTATTATTCAAACTTACTTTATTTTCCCACTATAAAACAATCATTTTTGGAATATATATATGTTATTTTTATATTTGCACAGTGTTGAGATTTCATCTGTTCCTATGTATTGTAATGCTAAATACTGGCCCTCAAGACCTGGCGGTCCCCAGTGAGAAGAGTCTCATGTATGCAAGGGACACTTTGAATCTGGCTCCTTAATTTAAAACTTGTTGAATAAAGATGCCTAGAGCCTATAGCTGGGCAGAAGAGAGGTATGTGGGGCTTTTGGAAACCCAGGCTCGGAATCTGAGGCAGAGACCACGAGGATGAAGAAAGAAGAGAAGTAAAGACGTCATGGGGTAGGTAGATCATGAAGCATGGCCATGAGGCCTGGCCAACTGGAGTAGAACAGGCTCAGGAGGAACAAGACAAGTGTATCTATATCTCAGGGTTACTAACAGGAAGTAGACAAAATAGCATAGAGAGTTGATACCTGCACAGCTCTCGTGCTTTAAGGCTTACTAAAAATAGAAAGGTTTTGTGTCTTCTATTTGGGAATTAAATGATCTAAGGTGGGATACAAACTCCCAAATAATATTTACCACAACACAGACTATATTTATTGCTATATATTTCAAAACCGAGGCAACTCTCTACACTGTCAAATAGTCTGACACAGCTAAACCATCAATAATGAGTTGAATGAATGCTGCAAAGACTTAGTTTTAAATTATTTGATAACTAGGCTCAAGAGTTAAAGGAAAAGTTATTTAGAGAAGAATTTCAGTTAACAAATGCTAAAAGGATCCTCATGGTTTGGTAGAGCTTTGTAGCTGAGGGCCATGGAGATGTCATCTGAAGACTTATTGAACAGCCCTACTGTGAGTCTAAGAAAATGGGATATTACACGCTCCATAATACAAAGACAAAAGGCACCATCATGTATAAATGATCTTCACATGAACCAGAATAAACCAACCCTAATAAGCTAAAGTCTAATTGCCACACAAAGGAAGGGGAGAACACAATAAGCAGTCAAAGCAGTCAGTTAAATCAGTTAAATCTTTAAGTTACTATTACAGGGAGGGACCCAGGTCCAAATTCCAGGACCCACATGGTGGCTCACAACCATCCTAACTGGAGCACCTCGAGATCTGTTGCCTTCTTCTGATCTCTACGTTCAACAAGCACTCATGTGTTGCACATACATACTAGCAGGCAAAACAGCCATACACATAAAATAGGACAGAGGGTGTAAAAGGGATCAGACACTATGACAGAGTTCACAAGCTGCTGTGTGTACAGGGATCACTGTAGTTTAGGCTGAGAGTCCCAAATCCTAAAATGTCATTTTAGCATTAGGTATCTAATTTGAAAATCCAAAATCAATCAGAAAAGTCAATAGAAATATTTTAAACTTTGGGAAACTCCAAATCCTAAAACATTCCTGGTTCCTAAGCTTCAATTAAGAAACATCAAACATACACCATTAGATTCTCATAGGCTATGATCAAACCAAAGACTATGAACTCTGGTGACGTGGCAAAGCCTTTCTGTGCAACTGTCTATAATCTCAATGAGAAATACCTAGGTTAACTTCTATTTAATCTAGAAATATCAGTAATTTGGCAGAAAAAAAAAAAAAACCTTCTTGGTTAAATTTTGAAGACTACTTATTTACCTTCAGGCCAGTTGACAGCTTTCCACAAAATCTGAAGTTGCTGGGCTGTTGGCTTTTCTGAAGAATTATTACAAATCAGGGACAGTATCTTTTCAAGAAGTACCAAGTCATCTTCAGTTAGCTTCTTCTCTTCAGGTGCAGTTCCATTAAGTTCCTTCAGTTTTCCTAGAAACCAAAACCAATCTTTCAAAATTCCCTAATTGAACTGAGACAACATTTTTCAGGAAAACTCTCTGCACAGCAACATTCCTCTTGGCAATTATCAAAGACCATAAAATGTAGTCTATGAGCAATGAATTATATGGTAAAAGAACAGTGACCGCATTGGTTTTGACTTTACCTGTTTTCCCAGATGCTCAGGTACTGCTCTGGAGCCTTTCTGTCTTCCAAAGCAATAGTAAGTTATGTATATTTAAGTGTAAGTCATCTCCTATTTTCCCCAAATCCACAACAATTTAAAACATTTATCTATTATTTATGTATAGTGTGTGCACACAGACATACATGTGCCATGGTTTGCAGACAACCTTAAGGGATCAATTCTCTCCTTTCATCACACAGATTCCAGGGATCAAACTCCAGGCATCCAGCTTGCACTTTTACTGGCTGAGCCATCTCACCAGTCTCAGACTTACAAATCTTTTAACAATCACAAATGGACTTTGGACCTATCTCACTTGTATTTGGTACTTCAGTTTTTAAAACTGGCAAATTATTGGAAACAACATTTAAGGAATGTAAGAAGCAAGAAATCTTTTAGATTTGTAGTAGAATTAACAAATGCCTAAGTAAGTGTGCATATACTTTTAAGTTCAAAGTTTTGTGGCTTATCAATGCTCTTGGTAATAATATAAAGAACAATAATGACAAAACATTTGCCTTACAACTATGTCTAGGTGCCGCCCTATGTCAGTCGTTACCACCAGCTTTGTGGCCAAGAGATAAAGTAATGTATAGTCACAGATTTTCCCTCTTCCCTTCAATTTGAGAAAAAGTAAAAGAAAAGCAATCAAAGCAAACAGTATAGTTTCTCTCTCACCACGGCTGCCCGCAAGCCCCTTACTCCTAGATAGTCTCAATATACAACTCAAGCTAGCCTTAAAATTGAACTTTCCTGTTTCATCCTCCTAAATGCTAAGAATGCCTCTTGTACCTGTTTTTATTAATTTTAAAAGCTTTAAGACCTCCGTACATGAGGTGCAGGGTTCACAATAAACTGCTGACTCTGGACAGGTATGGAGGTCAGAGGACATGCAGTCCATTTTCTTTCCTCCATGTGGGTCCCAAGAACTGAACTCTGGCCCTCAGGCACAGCAACAAGTACTTCACACTGCCTCTGTCTATAGGACACTAAGTTTGTCTTTTAAACTGAAAACATATTCTTAATATATTCTAATTATGGTTTCTCCTTCCCCAACTCCTCTCAGATCCTCCCTACTTCTCTACCCACTCCAAACCATACAAATCAGTATCTATAATAATTCAATTAGATAAAAGAAAAACGATATATGTCAAAACAAACAGAAGAAAAGAGAGGCAAAATAAAAGTTCAAGAAACATTTAGAAACAAAGATGCATACATTCACAAATGCAAATACATAAAAACAAATCCAGGAACCATAATACATCCAAAAAAACTTGTAAGGCTAAAGAAAAAAAAAAGCGCTGAAAAGCATTATGAAACAAAGAACCTCCAAAATAGCCACTGAGTTCGTTTTGTGTAGAACACAGATGAGTTTTTAAAGGTAAGCTCTGGAAAGTGGGGTGTGGTGGTACAATGCCTGTCATCTTTACACTCAGGAAGCTAAGACAGAAAGATCAGGAGTCAGGGGTGAGCCTGTAAAGCCTGCTTTTAAAAAACCAAAAAGTTATGACCTGCTTTATTCATTCATTGTCACCCCCGCCCCCAAAATAACCCTAAAAAATCCAAAACAAACAAACCCAAACAACAAGAGCTTGAGGGCAGGACTTTCTCATTTTTTATTAAAGTCATGATAAAACATTTACCTTATTTGTACAAAGCTTCTTAGAATCCATTAAGGCAGAATTACTAGGCTGCAGTCATCACAGCCAGATAGTAAATACCTTAAGGAGGCTGAAGATATGGTGCAATTGTTAAGAGCACTGGCTGTTTTCCAGAGGCCCTGGGTTCAATTTCCAGCACCCACATGGCAGCTCACAGCTCTCTGTAACCCCATTTCCAAGGAATCTGACACCCTCACATGGATATACATGGATATACACATGGAGACAAAACACCAACATACATAAATAAATTTAAAAATACACATAAACAAACAAATAAACATCTCACTAGAAGTCTTTGTTTAGGTAGCCAAATCCTGACATATGTCAGGCAAAGGAAGATTAAGTCTTGAGAGCATCTCTAACAGTCAATGAATATGTAAAGAAGAAACATTAATATAGACTTACCTAATATTTGTGTAGGGTTTGCTTGGTCAAAGGTAAGAGCTTCTTTTTTGGGGAAATAAATATTCACTGTTTTAGATGCAGCTGATCGGTAGGCACTACTCCCTATTTACAGAGATCATGAAAATCATAAGGCATACTTAAAAGTAAGATTCTTCTAATTATACAGCTACATTCTCACAATTACTGAGATACCTAACTCCTCAAGGCACGCAATAACACAACAAGCTATCTCCAAACCATTCATAAACTTCTATATAATGCTAATATTTATTAGTGTAATTTCCGGTTGAGAAAATGGAAGAATATTTAGAAAACGGCCTTTCATCTCATATTTCCTAATTTGGCTCTTAATATTCAATCTAAAATATTCTGGCTAAAGAACAAAAACAATTTTGAACCTCCTTTCTTATCTTAGTGTAATGCTATGTTAATTCCTTTCTCATGTCTTCCATAGCTTATGCCAAATGACACGGTGTTATCATTTTCTTTATAAATTATTCATGTTAACGTAAACTCAGTTATCTGATAACTAACCAAATAGTTCAAAATAACCAAGTGTGATGGTGCACACCTTTAATCCCAACACTCAAGAGGCAGAGGCTGGCAGAGTTCTGTAAGTTCTAGATTTCTCTGGTCTATATAGCAAGTTTGAGAACAGCCAGGCTCCAAAGAGATATCCTGGGACTAACAAACAAGCACAGATCGAAATTTCAATAATATTTAGTGGAATAAAATGACTTCAAATTAAGATTTCTTTTAAAATTGTCTTTTGTTGCTACATATGCTTGTGCACACCTTTAGTCCCAGCACTTGGAAGGTGTAGGGCTACAAAAAGACCATTTCTCAAATTAACAGAAATAAAACCAAAATTTTCTTGTGTAGCATCTGAGATCAAAGTCAAAGCAGTGTTCCTGCTAGACAAGAACTCAAAAACTGGGCTAAGGCCTGAGGAAGTTTAAATGCAATTTAAAAAATTTAAAAGAAAAATAAATTTAAAGTAGCTACCTGTAAATGGATCAACTCCAGGCATGGCGGTGCCCATACCTGCAGAACCTGGCATGTAACGACCAGCACCTACAATGCAGTAACATTCCTATGAACAAAGGTAAGTACATATCATAAAGCCTAACCATTGCTTCCTTTATCATTGATGTCACCACTGGTCATACTTCAAAACAGCACATAAGAAAAAAGTGCCTACAGTGAGCTGCTTATTAGGAAGGTCCATCATATGTTCGCTAAAAAGTAATTCCTGGGGCTGGAGAGGTGGCTCAATGGTTAAGAGTACTAGATTTTCTTCCAGGGGACATGGCTTTCAGTAAGATGGCTCATTAACAGCACCCACATGGTGACTCACAACAATCTCTAACTCCAGCCCCAAGGGATCTGCTACTCTCTCTGGCTGGCTTCTGAGTATACTGTATAAACACCATGCACAGACATTCATGCAATCAAAACACCCATGCAAATAAACAAAATAATTTAAAATTTTTACAAAGTAATACTTCTCAAGTGACAAAATAAACACTAGGTGCCTTCCACATTATAATCATTATAGTAGTTAGTGAATTATAAAACATAAGTAGATTGAAGGTAAAAAATGGCCTCTGGGATGATATATGAATTCCTTATTATAAGGAAAAAGAAACAAGTGTCTGATATGCTCTGACAACAGCCTGGTCACATCTCAGGTTGTACTTTTGACAGTGTTACTAAAGACAGAAGGATGAAAACTAGATGTAGAGTGTCAATGTTGTGATGTTCAGAGCCCTCTGTCAGCCTGAGGGAAGAAGGAAGATGAAAACTTCCTAAGTTTACATATAATCTAGATAGCACAAGCAAGCCATCAGACAGAAAAGGCAGAGCAAAACTCAACAAAAATGTACACAATAATGATGGTGACAGAGCAAATGGATTTCTTGATTTAAAATGTATGTCAACCAGAATACTAAGCATGAGTAGACTCAGACTCAGTAAGGCTTAAAATGCCACTATGACTCCCAGTATCTTAAAAGGAGGGCTGTTGACTAACTTGCCCAAGGCCTACACTGTCTATATGAGCTCTGTACCCATCTGATTAATATAATCCAATCCCACTCTAAAATCACCCCTTTACACAAATAGGAAATGTTACAAACTACAATAAAAACCACTCCACAGCACAGCACTCCCCAACATTATGCAATGGGAAGCCTTTGTTGAGAAAATATGGTGTAAGCTCCCATTATAGTGAGTCAGAATTGCTAGGGGTAGAAGACTGAAATAAGTAATTTAAACAAGCTCCTCAGATCATCCTAATAAACATTAAAAGTCTGACTGCTACATATATTAATAAGGAAAAGAATTAAGAACCTTAAATTGTGAGCCACATGAGGACCTCTTTTACCCTCACATCACTGGTAAGGTTCAAAGAGCAGCAGCAATATTAGCTATAAATACTGAGGGCTTAAATATCCTCCTGATGTTTTACCAAAAGAAAAAACAAACAAACAAACAAACAAACAAAACCACTTTATATGCATTATGCCACTTCATTTTCATATTTTTATATGGTAGGACATCACCATTTTGTTGTTCTTGTTTTTGTTTCTTTAGACAGGCAGGATTTTCTATGATGCTTGCCCTTAACCTCTGGAATACTAAGAAATCTGTACCATCACGTACAATGTTGTAATCTACTTTCAGTATGTGTGGAGTTCAGTATCTTAATTCTCTTAGATATTTAGTAGGCTACTTCATACATCTACATGCTTGTTGCATCTCTTGAGTCACTGACACCTTGCCCAAGAAGGTATCTCCTGGTAATGATACACTCAGAAGTTCTCCTGACTTTCCTTAGTATGTGTTTAACCTTGGTATGTTTATTCCATTTTAGGAATGGAGAAAAAAAGGCCAGGAAAATAAGTATGGAATTCTGCTGGACTAAGTTTCAGGGCATCACTGTTCTTAAAACCACTGGTAAAGAGAAAGACATCATTTAAATGCTCTTCAGGTCTTCATTACCATTTTAAATCAAATCATGTTCTCAAAATACTTCTTAACAGACAACATACTGCCAAAGGATATAGCTTGAGCTCGGGTTGTCAGTATACAAGGTACAATCATTTGCATTTTGATGATCACATTATTCATTAGAGAAAGGAATATGATTGAGAGAAATTCATGATACTTCATGATACTGACCTACAGTTATAGTGAAACAATTTATGGCTAAAAAGGGTCATGGGTTTCCATTTCCATAGCTCACAGTACTGAGTCTGGATGGCCACTGAATTCCATTAAATGTCACGAATCTCCTCCAAACCGGGTATATTGTCCATAAACTCAACCTCAAGATCCAACATCAGTATATAAAGATAAATTAATGCATTCTGAAACTAGTACTTCCTTCAGCAGCATTAAAGTTCAACTCTGGCAATGTTTTTCCAGTAGTGTTGATTCAACTGAGGCTTGCTAATCTCAGGAAGTAAATGCACTCTGAAAACCTACAATGACACTTCAAGGACTTCAAGGCCATTAATAACTTCAACTAGGAACATTAATACTGGATAGCTAGGCAGAATGCCTCCTTCCATGGGTGCTTAGTCAAAATAAGTGTGAGCAGACCTCTTGATTGCACTGCTCTATCCAATATGAAGGATTCACGTGACTCCTAATTTGTCCACAACTTATGGTAGTGTACTGCCAATAATAACAACAGTGGTACTCTATCTTGGTTGGACAACCTATTATTACCTAATTTCACAGTTTAAAAAGAAATCAACCAGATGCCAGGTAGCGGTGGCACACGCCTTTAATCCCAGCACTTGGGAGGCAGAGGCAGGCGAATTTCTGAGTTCGAGGCCAGCCTGGTCTACAGAGTGAGTTTCAGGACAGCCAGGGATACACAGAGAAACCCTGTTTCAGAAAAAAACAAAACAGAACTAAACAAAACAAAAAACAAAAAACAACAACCAGATGAGTTAAGTAACTTACCAATTTCTCAAAGCAAAAATATGGTAGAACTAGGTTTTGAGCTATGGTCATTTACATTAAACCTTCTATTTCTAACTCTTTCCAGCTACTCTGATCTTCAGATAGAAGAACTACTGTAGTAAACAATGTTTCTGGTAATATGTTACTTAAAATCAGGAGAAAAATCTATACATTGTAGGGAAAATCCAAAAATTACAAATTAAAGATCTATCAAAATTGAAAATAATTTTAAGGGAATTAACCATTATTGGATTGTATCTCCAAAATGTAAAGCTATATATATACACATATACATATATATATATATATATGCTATACATAAATGTCATGTAAATACTTTATATTGAGCCATGATTATATGAGTGAAAACTGCATCCCACCTGTGAAAGGATCTGCTGTCTGGACTGTGTTGGAAGGTCCTGAAGTTCCTGGAACATAGCGACCACCGCCTATGCATGTAAAACAACGGAAAAGCTCAAGTACATGGAAATAGATTCATAATTGCACAGTGCTTACAGTAAATGAATCCAAGCTTGGAGAAAAGAGCAAAAGCAAAGCTGTCACGTGACAGAAATTATAGTCAAATGTCTTAGTGCTCCATAGAAACTAAAATTTCAGTGGGACTCCAAGTATAGCTCCTTTCCTTTTTAATTTTACGTGTATGACGCCTGCAAAAGAAATATTAATCTTCCTCAATGGAGTCTCACTAGGTATATTAACCATGCTTCAGGGCAGATCCTGTGCCCAGTAGTTGATGGTTAACACAAAACAAAATCAACTGTGTATCTGTAGACTTTTTGCCCTTTTTTGTTGGGGAGGGGGTGTTACTGGTATTTGGTTTGTATATTGTGGTTTGTGTTTTTGTGGGTTTGGGGGTGCATATGTTCTTTTGGTTTGTTTGTCTATTTGTATTCTAAAGACACAGAGAAAGAAAGGGCATGGAGTTATGTGAGTGGGGGCGGGGGGTTTGGGTGGAGGTGCAGGAGGGGAAAATCCTGATCAGAATATATTGCATAAAATTTGTTTTATATATATGATTTTTTTCACAACATTTGTGTCTGTGCACCATGTGTGTGCCTAGGGTCCGCTGAAGCCAGAGGAGTGCATCAGATTCTCTGAAAGTGAAGATAAAAACAGTTGTGAGCTGCCATATGGATGCTGGGACCAGAACCTGTGTACTCCAGTAAGTGTTCTTAACCACTGGGCTGTCTTTCCAGTTTCTAAGTGCAGTTTCTTAACTAACTCCTCTTTGAAGTCTTAGCCCCAGCACACAAATGTGGACATAACTGAAATCAATAACCAAGTTGCAGGTGGTCTCTGACTCAACATCATACATATGTAATTCCTACCCTTGTTCCTGTACAGACTTACTAGGATTCCTGTGGTTGCTGTTGCATGAAAACCACCAGCATTGAATGTTAATCTTTTGGGGAAGGTCCTGGGTTTTTTACCTCATGTGTCAAATGTGCCCTCAGTGCTGAGATTCTAGCCAGGAACATTAACTATAACCTCTGACGCTACTACTTGATAGACAGAGGGGAAAAGTGCCACAAGGAACGAGAGCTACACTGACATGTACACAAATGTCAAATGGTCTTCTTAGTACCTTTGGAGGAAATAATTGCATGTGCACGGGCGTAAACACACACACACCTTAAAGTCTTAGAAGACCAAAACAAGTCAAGTGTTTTGTTAATATTCTAGACATAGTTAGGTGCTTAGATTTTACAGTATTCCATATACTCATTGTTTTGTCCTGTAGTCTTAAATACCAACGAAAATATTCACAAACTAAGCATGCAGTCTCCCCAACCACTTCTCTTTGTGCTAATAAACACAAGTATTTGGAAGATTAAGCCATTTATACTAATAAATTATTTTGAAATTTTTAATTATGATAATATATAGGTGAAATTAGTTCAACTATGTAAATAGGCAATGCAATCTTACCGTAAAAGGAGAGAAGAGAATGTGAAGAGCATGCAATATTTGTGAGGAAAAAGGGGCGAGATCTACAGTCTTAGTTAGGGCTTTACTGCTGTCAACAGACACCATGACCAAAAGAACTCTTATAAAAACATTTAATTGCATCTGGCTTACAGGTTCAGAGGTTCAGTCTGTTATCACCAAGGTGGGAGCATGGCAACATCTAGGCAGGCATGGTGCAGGCAGAGCTGAAAGTTCTACATCTTCATCTGAAGGCTGCTAGTGGAAGACTGACTTCCAGGCAGCTAGGATGAGGGTCTTAAAGTCACACCCATAGTGACACACTTACTCCAACAAGGACACACCTCCAAATACTGCCACTCCCTGGACCAAGCATATTCAAATCATGACATCTACTATAGAATTTGAATGAGGAAGGGGACATGAATTTCTATTAAAAACAAACAAACAAAAAACAAAAACAAAGAAAAAACAAACTAAAAACACAGGAAAAACAATGGTAAGAAATAAGAACAGGAGACTGAAGAAGATGGCTAGCTAGAATGTATAAGGCCTTCTCCAAGTTAAATACCAACTGTAATACATTTAGTGACACATATACAAACATCCCCAAAAGGAAGACATTATCTATCTATACTATTAAGTATCTATTTTAAAATTTTAGAGAAAATCTTGTCTAAAGAGGAGACAAGACAATCTATTTCCTCTGTACCTCAATTTTCTAGACCCTGTACTTATAATAATAATACTTCTTGGATTATAATTAGGATTCCAGCAATAAGTCCTAATCCTATTCATGATATTTTTATTATAAATAACATGTTAAATTACAGGCAATGGAATATAAATCACATATTCAAACTGTCCTAAAGTTGATGTACATCTATCTTATTTAACCCCATATGAAAACATTAATTTGTTTACCATTGTGGTGGTTTCAAAGAGAATAAATAGCCCCCATAGGCGCATATATTTGAATACTTGGTCCCTAGCTTGTGGAATTGTTTGTGAAGAATTAGGAGGTATGGTCTTGCTGGAAGTGTGCTAGGGGCAGGCTTTGAGCTTTCAGAAAGCCGAGGCAGATCCCAGGTTGTGTCTCAAGATGTGATCTATCAACTACTGCTCCAACGCCATGCCTGCCTGCCTGCCTGCCACCATTTCTCCCCACCATGATGGTCATGGAATTTTACCATGAGACTGTAAGCCCCAAATAAACATTTTCTTTTAGAAGTTGCCTTGGTCATAGCATCTTATCACAGCAATAAAAAAGTTAATAAAGACAACCATGGTACACACTGCTTAAAAAACAACACTGGTAAGATAGCTCAGAAAGTAACAGCACCTTGCTAGCAAGCCTAGTTAACCAATGTTTGACCCTTGGGAACTACATGGTGGGAGAGAAGCAACCCCTGAAAGTTGTCTTCTGACCTCCGTATGTCCTATGCATGCGTACAAAATATGTACAAAATAAATATTTAAAAAATCCATTGATTTTATTTAATCTATTGGGAGGTTATTTTTATATACTTAAAAAAATTGGATTTATTTCTTTTTACTCTATGTGTATGAATGCTTTGCCTGCATGTATGTATATGTATACTATTTGTATGCCCAATACCTATGGACATCAGAATACTTGTAGATATCAAGAGAGCTCTGAATCCCTAGAACTGTAATTACTGATGGTAGTAAGCCACTATCTGGGTACTGGGAACTGAAGCAAGAGAGCTTAATTGCTGAGCCATCAGTCAAGCCCACACACATACACACACACACGCACACGCACACACACATGTTTTAATTTATTGTTAATTATGTATATACCTATGTGTAATGATGGTATGTACATGTGTACTATGCCTACAGAGTTCAAAAGAGGGTATTAGAGTCTTTAGAACTGGAGTTATAGGCAGTTGTGAGGCACCTGATGTAGGTGCTAGGAACCAAACTGGAGTCCTCTCCGAGAGCAGTAAACATTCCTAACCACTTACCCATCTTTCTAGCTCCACAAAGCTGTATTTCAAAAGACAGTAATTTAGGTTTTCAATTTTATTTTATGTGTATGGGTGTTTTGTCGGTATGTATATCTGTAGGCCACATGCATGCTAGTGCCCAAGGGGGTTAGAAGAGGGTATCAGGCCCCCTGGCACTGGAGTAGCAGGTGCCTGTGAGCTACCATGTAGAATGTCAGGAGTTAAATCCAGGTCCTTTGGAAGAACAGTCAGTGCTCTTAACCAACGAGCCATCTCTCTGGGCAGAAAGTAATTTTGTAATTGTTTCTGTAAAATATAAACTTAGTGTATACATTGAGGCTTACTGATTAGAATATGAAGTAAAACTGCCTATCCTTTTTATTTAAAAACATAATCATTAGACGAGAAGAAAAATTAGCAAAGACAAGGTTCTAGCTCAGTGCTAAGAGTATGGATTTGCACACACATTGCATTGGTTATTATCTCCACTAAAACAAAACAAATACCACACCCACAACCCCCAATACTAATTTAGTACATAAGACTGAATACAAGTCCAAGCTCACCTGTAAACGGGTCTGAAAAACTGGGATTCCCAAGTCCCAGTGTTTGACCTTTTGTGTTATCAATAATAAATTTAGCCACCTGATCCAGAAACATGGGATTCAAATCATTTTTCTGCAAGAAGTTGTACGCAACTAGCCAGGGATCATCACTGACATTATATGGTAATTTATACGATGGTCCGCCTTCATTCACATCAATTGAGAAAACATAATCAAATTCCTGTAATGGAAACAGAAAATAAAAGTTAATTTACCTATTCAAATATGTTGAAGACATACAAAACACAGATGTTACATGTTTTTTATTCTAACCATCTAGATTTAAAACTTTTCTCTAAAATGCAATGATAAAAGTTTTCTTTGTGGTAGATAAGGAACCAAAGTGTGCATGTACTGCAAAATTAGTGTTTCATTACAAGTGGGGCAGGTGGTGGCTGAGGTGGGAATAGACTGTAGCTACTTATTAATACTAGGTCCGAATGGTTGATCTTACGGTTAAAATTATCAACTGTTAGGGTGCCCCAGTAACCAAGACATACTGGTATTATAAGCACAGTCTTCAGTGTGCCTCATCATTTCCCAAGTTTTGCAGAGACAGGTATTAAACATGACATGGAAGAAACTCCCAATCCAAAATGGCTAGAAACAGTTTTGTATGGGAAATTCTAAAAGACAGGTAATGGCTAATTTGTCACATGCAGCTTCCTCTACATAGAAAGATGTTACATAAATTATTTAAAATACTTTAATTATATATATATATCTTGATATATATTTTAAATCTATTTTAAGACAAAAGATAATTTTCTTACAATTTAATTTTAAATGTCAAAATACCAAAGAAAATTTTATTAGCAGAGAAAACTTCTAATTTTCTGTATAGCTTGTAATAATAATTAGAGGGCAGTGGTGGCACATGCCTTTAAGCCCAGCACTTGGGAGGCAGAGGCAGGTGGATTTCTGAGTTCGAGGCCAGCCTGGTCTACAGAGTGAGTTCCAGGACAGCCAGGGCTACACAGAGAAAACCCTGTCTCGAAAAAACAAAATAATAATAATAATAACAATTAGAAAGCAGAAGTAGACATACTTTCCCTTCATATAAAACTTTTCCAGATGTTTGCTGATTAGCACCAGATGAGCCAACAACATCACCAATTTTTATCCACCTCCCGTCACTAACACTCCACTGATAGGCTTCAACTCTCTCTCCATCTCTGATTAGACGAGTCTGTCCTTCTCTAGTACCTTAAAACAAATATTTTAAGAGTCAAAGGTTGACTAGCAGAGTAAAACGTAAAAACAGACAAATTTTAACATGTTTTTTATGGGTGCTTTCCAAGTTCAAAAAGTAAGATGAGCGAGAAGGACATGGCTTCTCTCATGAGTTATGTGTGATAGTATCAGTATCAAGTATCAGTACCTGGCATTGAGAACAGATGGAACATTAGCACCACATTCCCCTCATTACTCCTGGTATTCCAAAATGCAATGTGGTGGCATTTTTAACTATGACTTCACTATAATAAACAGTTACCTGGTTCACTCAGATGTTCCCTCCCAGGAAGCTGCTCAGCATTAATGTCCCCCAAGTCACCAGTTTTGGAATCGATAGTTGCCTGAGAGAGCTCTCTCTCAAAAGCCTTGATTTCCTCAGCACTTGCTGTCCGCTCCTCTGACTCTGTAAACACTCTAATAATACCATCACTACAAGAAAAGCAGACTAATTTTAAGTCATTGCCATAGTTTATTAACATTCTCTCATGTGAAAAAAAGCAAAAGTTATCTGTATGCATGAATATGAAGCAATATCAATCACTATGTACTGTGGAGAAGTAGGCTGACTGTGACAGACATTATTATTTCAGCTATTTAAAGTTGCTGGCAAAGGAGAAATACATTAAAACACAAATTTCAATTTTTAAAAGAAAATTGTCCATGACTAAACACATCAGACTCTTGTGTCCATTAGGCTGGTGCCTCCCACTGAGTTATATCCTAGCATTTGGCTTTTCTAAGACTGGTATTAATTAGTACACAGCCATTGCCAGGCTTAAATGTGTTTTCTCCACCTTAGCCTCTCAAGTGCTGAGATTACAAGTGTCACTGTGTCCAGCACAATGTTTAGTTCTATATTAAGTATTTACTGTAATAATTTAGAAATACAGCACTTTTTTACTTTTTAAAATCACTACCACATAGTCAACATACACTATCAAAAAGAACTGGTTGGGCATTGGGGAATGTACAATGAGACTAAGTGTCACAGCAAGACCCTATCTTGAAAACACAAAACTAAAACATGCAATGAAAAAAACAACAAAAATAGGTTCTTGGGCCAGTTTACTTTACAAAATGGTCCAAAGACTCAACCTGGTCTTATCAAACAGCAAGCACTCAATATGCTCAAATAACCTCAAAAAAAAAATTACCTAAATACAGTCCTTAACTTACATCCCCAAGAAAACACTCTAGTCTTATGGCTACATTTTCTCAATTCTGGTTTTAAAGTGAGGGAGTCATGTTAACTCGTTTAAATTGCATTAATTCTACTGAAGTCTACAGAGTACTTTCTGCACTCAGGGCTGTCTGTCACCTTTTCCTACACGCCCTCAATGTCTAGTTTACAATCTCTTCCTAGATCAAACACCCCTTTATTTCCTTTATTTTTTTGCCATAGAATTCCTACTAAAATGTAACAGCAATAACAGGTAGTATCATCTTTCAAAATGAAGCCACTGCTTTTCTACCTTTCCATTCTTGGACCACTTAGCACTCTATGACACTGATACGAAGCCCCCTCCAGGCCTCTTTTCCATCTCCTTGAATTCTGACATCTAGACTCCTGTGTTTTGTTTTAACCTACTGACCTTTCTATATCCAGAGTATTTCACAAGATTCAGTTGCTAGTCTTCTGTCTCTCTTCTATATTTGTTCACTCAGAGAATGTTCTGTGTAAATTTTCAGTATTAGTCTTATTCTAGAATTCAAACCGACTACTCAGGACCCACTGGCAGTGTGACAAGACATTACTCAGATTCAATAAGTCTTAAGTCAAAGTACTACTACCTTCTTTATGACACTAAGACCAATTTAATTCTCCCATTTTTCTATTTTTATTAATGAGGATTATCACAAACTATTGTTTGAAGCTTTATCCTTTTCCTTTTTTCCGGTTAATTCTCTCATTCATTTACTGTTAGTATTGTGAGGTCACTGTTACCTTTAGTTGAACTCAATCTGCATAAATTATAAATTCTACTTAAATCTGATCACGTCTTGGTCAAGAGCTACAATCCTTTAACCCGAAGCATCAAATCTAAAAAAGAACTAGCTTGAGGCCAGGCAGTGGTGGTGCACACCTTTAATCCCAGCACTTGGGAGGCAGAGGCAGAGGCAGAGGCAGAGGCAGGCAGTTTTCTGAGTTTGAGGCCAGCCTGGTCTACAGAGTAAGTTCCAGGACAGCCAGAGATATATAGAGAAACCCTGTCTCAAAAAAACCAAACAAAACAAAAAAGAACTAGCTTGAACCTTAGCCACAGGTAAGCCCACCTTTCGCTATACCTCAACCTTAGTCGAGTATTTCCCACACAGAATATTCACTTCTAAAGGGAACTAACTTATTATATTATCTCATTTATCAGAAATTCTAATTTCCATTACTCAACTTTCAAAATCCCATTTAACCTTTCCAGAAAGTTTTTCCAAACAGATCTCTATTTTTTTGAATTTCTTTGGTATTCAGTGTTTTCACTATATAATTTATAACATAATACTATACCACAAAGTAAGCACCAGTACTCGGAAAGTTCTTATTATTGCTGTTTTACTTGATAACAAAAATATGCAAGCAATCCTCCAATTCAACTGAAACTTCTTTGGTTTACCTCTGCATACTCAAGTACCTATCAACCACCTAGATACAGAAAATGTATTGACCGACTAGAATATAAATACCTCGCACCAACCACAATGTCACCATTGTCCAGCACACAGCAGCACCATATAGACTGAGCTGGAAGTCGGATTGTTTGTGCACATTCACCATGTTTCCATATTCTTAGAGATCTGTCTTCTGCAGTTGTCACAAAATCTAAAATTCATGAAAACAGAAGAAAGAATTTGTTTGGATAAAATGGAGTATATTTATAAACAATGCCTTTCTTCATATGTATATTGACTAATTAAAATTAATTTTAGATTTTTATAACTTGTTAAACTTCAAAATCATGTTTTTATTCATTTCACATTGTACACTCTATTCTTTGGACCAATTAATTTTACCAAGTCCTCAATCACTCAAGAGCCTTTTTAATAATATAGCTATCTACTCTGAAATAATATGAAGAGAGTAAAAGAATTTCTCAGAAATGAAATATAAGAGCACAAATATAAATACACAGCCTAAGGTAATCTTACCTCTGCAGTTTGGAAAGACAGATATGCTATAAATATAGTTTGTATGTCCATAGTACACTTCCAGACACTCGCCGGTGATCTGCCACCTTCTAATACTGGCATCGTTTGCACAGGAAAGAAATTCTGTCTCACTCAAGATTGCCAAGCCTCTTACACAGTCTTCATGCCCTAGATTTAAAAAGAATACAAATCAAAAAATGCACCACTTGGTTGACTGCACTATACAGCTTAGTAACACCATAAAACTTATAAGTGAGTAGTAAAATCTATAGAAAATCAAGTTATAGAAATTTATTTTCTCCTGTAGAAAGTGGTCTGTAATGGAAAGTAGGCCATTTAGCAATTTTTTTTTTTAATCTCCAGTCTTAGGAAGTTATTTTATATTTTTTCTATCTTCTTGACATGATTTCCTAAACTCTCAAGATATGTAAACCAGGCTTGACCTCCAACTCACAGAGATCCACCTGCCACTGCCTCCTTAGCACTGGAATTAAAGGCATGTACCACACAACAACTTTAACCTTTAAGGAATAAAAATAAAGAGGAAAGCCAGTAAAACTCACACTCAAAATATTAATGGCCTACAAGGAAATAAAGAATAGTGTGACACTCCTATCAGACAGTCCAGAGGCTAATGATGTAGTTCAGCAGGAAAGCTTGTAGTTAAAGGTATTGGTTCAAATCCCCAAAGCTAAAAGTACAAAAATACATAAATAATCAGACAATATATTCTTCACTGTGTCAAAAAGCTTGAGTTTAATTCCATACCAAAAGTTACATGCATTACAACACACACAAAATTAGACTCACCCAAATGGCCTCAGTTATACTGAATTTTTAAATTATCACTTTTCAGCTTCTAAACATTCAAGGAAATAATTGGGCAGGTAAGAAGCATATTATGTATTACAAAAGCTGTTAACCCTAACAGTACCTGAAAAAGTCCTCTCACATCTTCCAGCCTTCCATAGTTTAATCGTCTTGTCTGCTGATCCAGTTAACATTAAGCCCTGTTCAGGTAAAATCTTTACTGCCCACACTGCAGCTGTATGACCCTGTAAGTAAAATGGGTATCAGGTTAAGATGCCACAGAATCTTCATTTTCGTTTATTATCTAAAATATTCACACAGAAACAATACCTGTAATGTCATCATGCATTTGTCATTCAGCCAGACTTTAGCAGTGGTGTCCCATGAGCCACTAAGTAATGTCCCAAATTTTCCAGAAGAAAGACTACAAACTAAGGGGGAAAAATGATTAGTTAGTACATTTTTATGTGAATAAATGTTCAACCTCACAATCTTTTGAAGTATTAAAATTTTTAAGTAAATTTGTGAAATGATGGTTTCTTAGCCAATAAAGTTCTATTCAGTGAAGCTGCAAGGGAACAGGAGATCAAGATTACAAGCTCTGGTGCCAGAATGTCTAGGAACAAGGCCTAGCTGAGCCATTTATAAGCCATGTGGCATAAGAGTCCAAGTGCTTTGAGCTATTTTTGGTTTTTAATTTATTCTTATTTTCATGTATATGTATACGTCTATATGGGTGTATGCCACATGTGCACAGGTGAGAGAAAGGCATTAGGTACCCTGGCAACTGGAGTTACAGGCAGTTGTGAGCTAACCAACCTTCATGGGCGCCAGGTAAGAACTAGCAAATGAACCTGTCAGGGTTAGAATTCAAAGCATAAAAAAGATGTTGAGTCAGCACAGCAACTCCAAATACTCATTAGATAGTTGATATTAAGAATTTTTGTTTGTTTTAATAATATACTAATAATATGGTTATTTCTTCCTATTAGAGAAAAAAGTTGGGGTTAGGGAGAAGGGTCAGATGGTAAAGCGTTTCCCTTACAAGGAAGCACAAACGACTAAGGTCAAGCTGTAGAACCAATATAAAAATGCCAAGGGGGTAACAATGATACGTGCTTATAATCCTAGCGCTAGGGATGGGAAAACTGGCAGATCCCGCAGGCTATCTGGCCAGGCAGCTTAGCTAGCCTGGCAAGCAGCGGGCTACTGAGAGCCCTTTGCTCAAAATTAAAAAGGTGAAGGTGGATTGAGGGCTCCATAAGAAGAGACATTTGTGCACAGGCCTGACAATATTAATTCCATCACTGGATCTCATAAGGAAGAGGAGAACAGACTCCCAAGTAGTATCCTTTGACCTTGCATGTGCTGTGGCATACATCTGCCAAACATACTACTAAAATAGTTTTATGGAACTAGCCCTGGCTGGCCTCAAACCACCTCTTCCTCAAAAGTACTAGGATTTAAAGATGCCACACCTGGGTCAAAGGGGGTGGGGGGGAAGGTGGACAGTAGTAGAGGAACAACACTCAACAGCACTCAAGGTTGTTCCTCCCTACCCCCCAGAGTCATTGTTTGTGGAGGGGTGTGGTGGTTGGGAGAATTAATGCACAGAAACCACTTGTTTTTTTCATAACCCATAAAAGCCAAACAATTTTACCTTAAGTGACAGGGGGATATTAGAACTACCTTTGGTGACATGTAAAAGCTACATGAAATACACATTTCAAGTGTCCATAGATAAAGATTATTCGTTGTACCTAGTAGCATAAGCCTATAATCCCAGCTACCCAGGAGGCTAATGCAGGAAGATGACAAGTTAAAGGTCTTCCTAGACTACACGCACTGTGATTCTAAAAGTACCTTGGGCAATTAAGACAGATCAGTGCTGAACACTTACCTATCATGTGAGAAGCCCTATCATGTGAGATTTATTGAAAAACAGACATCTTGGTTTATGCTTTTGTGTGAATTGAGGAGTTATAGCAGCCATATAGTCTAAAAAGTCTAAAACATTTAATAACTAACACTTTATAGAAAAAGTTGGCAAAGCTACATATTGAAGTAGAGAAAAAAAAATCAAGAACTTCATTTTAAAATAATACCATGGTAGGGTAAGAAAATTAAGCCACTGATAATCCTTAAAGCTATGTAAACTCAAACTATTTATACTATTTACTCTTTTAAATAGTACACACATTTATTCATAACTCACTCTAAAATACCAAGTCTATAATTTATATACATTTAAAACTTTCCAAAATAAAAAAAAAACCTTAAATGTGTATCATTTAAAATATTACATATACACAAACATCTTTACTCTTTACAGGAATTTTTAAGTGTTTATAAATCATGTCCCAAACTTTTACACATACTATACAAAGTAAGTATAGGGGCTGTGAGACGGCTCCGTAGTGCATACTGCTTTTCCAGGGTCCTAAGTTTGGCTCCCAGACCTGTATCTAGTGGCTCACAACAACCTATGGCCCCAGTTCCAGAAGTATTGTTGTCTCTTATCTCCACGGGCACCTGAACATAGGTGTATACACATACCCACAGACATTCATACATAATTAAAAATAATAAAAATAAATCTTAAAACAATACAAATGTACACATGACCAAACTGATTTCACGCATCATTTTATAAGAAAGGGCTGTAACAGTTTTGAAGTATTTTTCCTCTAATAATATCAGATCCCTAAAACTATCTGATCCCGGAACAAAGAGGGAAAACTATTTGAATATACCAGTCTAAATCTGCAAGTAAATTTATAAAAGAAAATTTACAGAACTCAGATGGTCCAAAAAGGTTTCCACTAACAAACATAGCTTAAAATATGAGGACGAAAAATACATGGGGTGTAATTCAAAGTAGTGAAACTTCTTCAAATACAAAAATACTATCCATCATGTTATACTTACCAGTATCTTTGTGACCTTTTAAAATATAAAGTGGCATCGGACTGTCCAGCGAGAAAATGCAAATATTGTGGTCATTTCCTCCAGTGGCAATTAGTCCATGAGGATACATGTCATTTGAGGGTATGATGCACACACAAGACACAAAATTAGAGTGGCCGCTCATACAGTGCATTTCTGTAAAGCCCCTGTTAGGACTGGAAAGAGAGGATCATTACTACAAACACACACTTGCCGGCTGGCTTACCCTAAGACATCAAACATAAAATACATTCATTATTACTCAGTATACAGGTTGAGTAGTAATATACCGTTCAAAGAACATACTGTTTTTAATTAAACATTAAATAGCTATGTTGCATGAGTAAAAGAATTATATATCAGATTGGGAAAAATCTGTTGTGATTTCTCAGTACAGGTATATTGATTAACAGGAAAAATAAGAAAGCAAAGGGCAGGGGATGAATACTGCAAGTGCCTTTTTCTCATTCCCCACAACCTTTCTACTCATCAGGTATTGCTGCTCTAAGAAATCATTGGGGAACTGAAACAAAAATTAAGATAATGAAATCCACTGTCAGTAAAGTAAATTTGCTCAATGAAGTATTACCTTGCTACCCTTTAGTATAGTATAATAGATGCAACTGAACAACTAAGAATGGCAATCATTTTTAGTATGCAATAAAAATGAGAAACCAATGTACTATTTGGGAGAGCACAGTACATTAATAAGTCCCTTAGATTACAAACGATTGCCCACTTCTCACATACATCAATCTTTTAGCATCCCTGCCTTAAGTAAATCAAACAATGGTACCATATACTATGTAAAAAACAATAAGTTAGTAACTAAGAGGCACATACAGTTATATCTCTAGCAATAAAAGAGTTTACAATCTAGTTGCAACAGCTAAGGCAAGTGCACATAATGAGTGAAATTAAACTCCAGGACAAAAACTGAACAGTTTCCTTTCTTTCCCAAAGTGCACTAACTAGCCATCTAACTAAAACAGCAGTTCATGATTCAATAAAAGCACAGCAGGGAGGATGAAGGTAAACACAAACAAAAATACAATTTTCAATACTGTCAAAACAGCTGTGAAGTAGTAAAGGCCTAGGAGACCTGTGGAAAATGATTTCTACACTGGCAGCAGGTTTAGAGGACAATCAATGTACCAATCCGTCCTCTCCCCGTAAAAAAACAAAAACTACAGAGACCCCCGTGAAAATGCTAGTTGGTAGGAAGAACCAGGAATGTTTCTCCTCATTTAGACAGCAAATTCACTGGTAGTCAAACCCAGAGCCTATGCACACCACATACCCAGCCTACTGAAGCTAATTTTATTAAATTTCAGCAGCTGGAACAGTAGTAGCTACTGATCTGTCAGCCTCTAACTCCATGGTGGGTGATCCTCCACATGTAGTAAGTAGACTGCACACAGAAGCAGAAGTCAAAGTGTGCATAAAGTATCCTGTCCTCCAAACAGCAGAGGTCAGTTCTCTGATCATGGTTTGATATTCAAAAATAGGTGGGCATTGTTGAAACTTCCTGTCTGCTCTGTTGATGTAAACTGCCTCTCCAACTGGTGGTTTACAAGAAATTTAAAGGACTGATGGTCGGCCATTTTGCCCCTTCAGCATTCTCTTTACCTATTTTTGAGAGCCAGCAATAAAATCCAAGATATTAGTAGTCAGGTGTGGTAGTATATGTCTACAATCCCAACACTCAGAGGATTTAGTTCAAAGCCAGCTTTGGCTACATAGGCAGAGATCGTATCAAAATACAAATCACTTTAAAACAAGGATATTCAAAAGCCAATTGCATATACAGGGATGTTAGAACTGAATGTGCATGCTGAGGGAAAAAGCAGGTAGGAAAAGACCTAAGTATACACATCAAGTATACATATCGGGCTAGAATTTAACACAGGGACATTGAATAACAAACCATCAACAAATTCTGACCTACTCAAAGGAACAAAATAAATTTATTAGAAGTGGTTCCTTAAAAAGACCAAAAAGCCAAATGGCAGGCCTACTAGTCAAAACAATCTAAAACAGGCAACCTAAGAGACAGCTCAGGGCTGGAGAGATGGCTCATTGGTTAAGAGCAATGACTCTTCTTCCTGAGGTTCTGAGTTCAATTCGGTGGGAGACACTGTCTCAAAAAATGTGGACAGCGATCAAAGAAATTATCATCGACATCCACATCTAGCTTACACACACACACACACACACACACACACACACACATACACACAAACCTTACTCACAAAATGCTAGTAGGTAAATTTCCCATTAAAAAACAAAACAACAATACCTTTGAAGGCATGGCTCAGTGGGGAGAGTAAGTATTTTACATGAGAGGCTCTGTAAAATTTCCTCTGCACTTACACAAATACTTCTAGAGGCAGGTGGCACTTGGCCAATGTACTCAAAGTGTTATCACTTGCACTCTCAAGCACACACATCAAACAAAACCTGTCCATCAACAAATAAGGCTATGTCTTATTCAACTCTTGTTAAAAACGGAGGTAAATGAAGACATTTTCAGATGACAAAAGCAAGTCAATTTCATACTATCAAACTTGCCCTCCAAGAAGTATGTGTTTTCCAGATGAAATGAATTCAGAGCTATGCAAAGAAACACAGTCCTCATCTGGGCTAGAGGTACACAAACCTATCTATTATCTTAATACTTGGGAGACCAAGGCAGAATTTCCAGATTGAGGCCAGCCTTCAGGTAAAGAAAGATGCTCGCTCACAAGCCTGACTGGCCTGAGTTCAATGGCCTGCACGCAAGGCCTGTTAGGAGAGAATTAGTTCCTAAAAGCTGTACATGTACACACACACACACACACACACACACACAAACACACAATTTCAGAGTTTTTCAGTTACTCCCCAAAATCAACTAAATAGAAGATCTAAATAATAAAAAACCCTCTAATATAGAAAACAATAATAAAATGTATTCACTTTAAATGTCAATAGAGTAAGTGCTCTAATCAGAAGACAGACTGGCAGAGTGCCTAAAAACATGATCTAAGTATGTGCTCTCTATGCACAAGAGTTTCAGTTTAGCTCCTCAAACACAAATACACTGGAAAAAAGATATTCCATGTAAACAGTAACAAAAAAAGAGCAAGGGGGAGCTATATAAATATCAAACCAATTGTCTTTAGTTAAAAACAGGTACCAAGTCAAATATATTATTACATATTAATAAAATTGCATGCATTAATAAAATTGCATGCCAGGTATGCTGACATTTGCCTGTGATCCCAGCAAATTGTACGCTAGGTCAACCTAGGTTACATGGCAAAACCTTGTACCAAGAAATTAAAACCAAAAAACAATAAATACAGCAATAACATTCAATAACTATACAGTTATGTGCCTAATATGATCATCAAAATACAGCAAGTGAAAACTGACAGACTGAAAGCACAGTTACAACCTCGATATCCCACTCAATAACAGGATGACAACACAGACAATAAGCCAAGGGTCTGGGGTACAGTTCAGCAGCAGAACATTGTCTGCCCCGGTAAGGCCGAGGGTCCAGTCTCCAGCAAGTCCAAATTTAAAAAATCAAGAAAACAGAGAGATTGAACAGTACAGTAAGCCAACTAGAAATCTCTTAAAATAGCACTAAAAAACCAGACCTTTGTAAGAAAGATTTTAGAATCAGTCAGAAGTTATCATAGAAAAAGTTCTTCTGAGCTATTTGGTAGTAGGTAATTTTAGTTTATCTACTTTAACGGGATTTTTAAGATGTGATTTTAAATAATTTTATTAATAAGTTTGGAGAAAGTTAAGATCAAACATTTTTTAAAATGTGTCTGGGGCAGGAGAAATGGCTCAAATACCAGCGAAGACTCTGTTTATGCGTGTTTTGAAGCAGTGGTACAACAGAGTCCAAGCTTAGCTCAAATGCATCATTCTCTGTGGCCATGCAGCATTACTACTCCCAGCATCAGCAATCTGTATTATGTAAAACTATGTGTATCCTTTAGCAGTTCTAGCATAGTTGTTTATTTGGGTTATTTACAGTGATCTATTAGGTTCTTAGTTCCACAATTTGGTCTCATTTTCTTCTTTGTATCTTCCCAAGTTTATACCACAATATTTTACAAGGTAAGTATTAAGTACTTCTTAATGACAAAATACTTAAGAAGCATTGGTTGGGGAGACAGAGGCAGAGCAGGGCGACAGCCACCCTCTTCTACCCCTTGAAAATCTGAAACTTTTGATTTAGAAAGTCTTGAAGAGGAGGGAGGCAGAGCAGCACAGACACATAAGAATCACTGAATCTTGGAGTGTAAGGATTTATATTGCAGCCCAAGATCATAAAAAACAAAACACCAGAGACCAGGCCAGTATCCTGTTGGCAGATCAGCAAAATAAAATAGCTCCCCAGATAGTGCTACTTTAGTAAAGTTTTCAGCCAGCATACCCCACCCAAGAACACAGCTTCCCAGAAGCTACTTAGATCTTCATCCTCATAACTGAGCACATAATACAGAGTAACAGATATCCAGAGAAAATTTCCAGCATGAAACTCAAAGACCAAAACAAGCAGTAAGGTGGGAAAACAAAACTCTCTGGCGGAAGCACACCATCAAAGAGAAAGTAACTTAAAAATTAAAAGCCAGTACTCATTGTAACTCTATAGATATGGGAAGGTACTGTCCTCGAACCAGGACATGAATTCAAGTCAACCCACTTGAAAGCAAACAAACTCAACATCTGAATAATAAGTTTCTAAGAAAGAAGACAGAAAAGAAATGGAGAAAGAAACCAACCAATTAATTTGAGAAAGTTTTCGGCAGAGGTTATTAAAACTAAAAGGCCAAAAAATGATCCAGGAAAATGGATGAAATCAGACTCCTTGTAAAGTGTGCACATGGGAGAGAGGAGGGAGGAGAACAGGTAAAAAATCAGAATGGCTTTAGACTTTTCAACAGCCTAACATCAATAAAAGCAATGGAGCAACTCGGCAATATCTGGATGGAAAATTACTTCGGGATTAGAATCATGTAACCACTACAACTGCCACTATTCTAGCCAGAAAAAAAAAAAAAAAAAAGTTTTCAATCCCAAAAGTCTGAAACAAACACCTTTGTTACTGAGAAATTACATTCAGGAAGGGCCTAGAGGATGTGCTCCAGTAAGGTAAGATGAAGAAAACCAAGAAAGCGAAAGTTACTGCCAAAATAACAGAAATTCTCCACCAGCAGTCTACAGAAAGGGACAGTAAAGTTACCCAGGACTACTACCTGTGCTCTTGTAACAGGGGAGAAAGCTTTCACTGTTAGAAGAGGAAACCTTAAATTATCTAACATTTTTAAATGTCGATTTAAAGAATTTGAAGTAGAATTAAGATAAATACATAGAAAACTCAGAAAATGGAAACCCGGAAACCCAAACCAGAGGGGGAAAAATAGTTACAAACACTGATTTAGTCAAGCTAAGCAAAGGTCAGCATATAAAAAAGACAGACGAGATGGGGGTGGGCAGAAAACAGGTAGCACTAATTTCAAATGTTCCATAGCAGAAACTAACAGATAATTCCTTTTAAAAAAAATCAACACATAAACATTGCAACATTGCAATTTACAATGACATAGGAATAAAATGCAAAATGAGCATTTAGAAAAAAACATTGTCTCTAAGGAAAGGAAATCTGGGATGGGACAGAAAAGAAACTGGGTTTCCCAACTAGCCCAATAGAATCGTCTTGACTTAGGACTCAAGGTACTCAGGATTAACCAGAAGGAGAAGTCAATTTTGTCCTAGCAGAGTCAAGAAACGTAAAATGTAAGGTTGTAAATTTTAAATTATATCTTCAAATACAGGTAGCTTTCAAGAGGCCAATGAATACAAAGACAAAGGTGCTGAGGCCATACCCCCTCTCTCATACCCCAGAAGTTTGTGACAGAGTAGTGGAATGTGATGCCAGTTTAAAGAGGTCTGAAGCAGGGTGAAACCATGGCATGCTGGCTGGTCTAGTTCATAAGACAATGTTTTTTCTGCTAAGCTGTATCTTCTGTTTTTTTTTTTTGTGTGTGTGTGTGGATTCTGGCTGTTTAGTCCATCCTAAAATCCAGCTGTTTCTACCTAAAATTCTCCCACCATTCTTGGTTCATCTCTTCACTTACTACTATCATCCAGGATCATATCAACAATGGACATGGAAAAACAAATTTCATTTACTGCTTGATTCTCAATATGATACAGTCCTTCATGAACTTATTAATATACCATGAAATAAAAACTGTCAGTGTGCTAGCTGGAGACTCCTTTTATGTCACAAAAACTATTGCTGAGATGGAGAGGCCAGTCATCTACTGACTGAGACACTAACCTGAAGAGCTAGAAATGACAGCAGTCTTAGTTGCAAGTATTGATCACTGTTAGTTGAAAAATGCATAAAGAAAATTTGAAGAACAAAAACATCAATAAGAAGAACTAGTTTTCAAATAGAAGATTATTTCAGTGTAAAGTTCCTAGGTGAAAACAATGACTCCAGTTATTCCACTCTGTCGACCTACAACAGCTGTACAGAATGCACAGTTTACAGACAGGACTCAACTACTAAAACAGGCATCCTTTAGAATAGATACTCCTCAACACGATGTTTTTGTCCTTAGATATAGGCTTCTACTGGATTTAATTTTATTTGTTGAGCACTGAATTCAGGGTCTTATGTAGGCTAAGCAGTGAGCTACATGCTATACCCCAATATTTCTGAAGATGACTTAATGAGAATGAGGACTCCGATTTAAAGGTACAATTTTCATCAATAACTATACTCAAATACATAAAGTTGTTTACTAGTTTTACTAAGTGGTTTGGGATGTTAGACTCTTAATAGTTGGAAGAGACTATGTGAGGTCATATCCAATTCAACACAGCAGTTTGTTCTATTAATATTCCTATTCTACCCTCTACCATCGTCCATTGGCTGCACTGCAAAACCCATCAACAAAAGCATCTACTTCCATGCTTTGCCTTTAGACTTTTCTACCAATGACAAAACAGAAGTTCTTAACAACTGAATTAAACCAAACCACTCCCTGCTTGAAACTCAAGTGCTTTTTAAAGATTTATTTATTTATTTTATGTATGAGTACGCTGTAGCTGTTTTCAGACATACCAGAAGAGGGCATCAGATCCCATTACAGATGGTTGTGAGCCACCATGTGGTTGCTGGGAATTGAACTTGCGACCTCTGGAAGAGCAATCAGTGCTCTTAACTGCTGAGCCATCTCTCCAGCCCCCAACTCAGGTGTTTTTAGTAGAATCACTACAACCTGGCTCCTGCTAGTCTTCAGAACCTGTGTTCACTTCATACTTTCACCTTCTGCCACTCTGGAACCTAGCCCTCCAAATACAGCTTTTCCATTTCAAAGTCCCCCATTCCACCTTTCAGGATCAGGTTACTCAATCTAATAAGACGTGTTGGCTTCAACACACACACACACACACACACACACACACACACACACACTGGATGAATACCCCGAAGGGAAAAAAAAAGCTTCCTACTAATATCTTTTTTGGCCTATCTCTATATTCTCCAAGAGAATATAAGAAAGTTCTGTAAACAAAGAGAACCTGTCCGCCTGTCAGTGAAGTCTTTCTCCCCAGGGGATGGAGATATATAGATATAGATATAGATATAGATATAGATATAGATATAGATATAGATATAGATGAGAGAGAGAGAGAGAGAGAACTCCGTTTTAAAGACAACTTTCATCAATAATTTGGTGGTTTGGGATGTTAGACTCTTAATAGTTGGAAGAGACTATGTGAGGTCATATCCAATTCAACACAGCAGTTTGCTCTGTAATATTCCTACAATCCCAACGTCATCGTATCTCATCAACTAAGGTCAATTTACCTTCCCCAAATCAGAAATCTGATTACTGTCTTAAATTTTTCGACTAGTCAGGGCTTTAAATGCAACCTCTGATATTGATTTGAGCTGGATAACTTTTTGGTTAACTTTTTTTTTTTTTGGTGGTGTTGGGGGTGGGGAATTGGAGGCAGAATTTCAGAGCAATGGTAATTTTGCCTCCTCAAGAAAATAGGACATTCCTACACAACAATAAACATTTGAAGAGGTTCATCCTCTCCTCCCCAAACAGACTATAACCTGGACAAGTAAGAGAGGACACCATGTGTAAACTCTCTGCAAGGCAATTACTGAGAATTATAGTCTTCAAAAATTAAATCTGAGAGCTGACTGGAGAGCAACTCCTGAGATCGGAGCCGAGGGGCAAGCCAGATGTTTTCACAGCACCGAAACTGGGAGGGCGCGAGCAGCAATAAATACTAAATAAAGTCTAAAAGAAACCGGAGGGATTATCTGCCAAAGCTGAAGCCCCGAAAGGTGTTTTAAGATGCTCATCCAAGGTCAAGCCGCCCGTTAGTAGTCAAGTTAGAGAGGCAGCCAAGTCCTCCAATCCCACACTCATTCCCCTTATCTTATCGGTTTCGCTGACAGTGCTCGGAGTGCCAAAGCTCCAGAATCGGAAGGAAGGCGGGAGCAGTTGCGGACACCAGGAAGAGGGAGAGATACACGGCAGGGAAGGAGGGTCACTCCTCCCACGTGTCTGGAAGCCTGCGGTCCACCCGAGGGCGGCAGGACTAGCAGCGCTCACCTATCTGGAGCCCAGAGGCGGGTGGTACGATCCCGGGACACAGACACAAAGGCTCCCGGCGGGTAGAGGCAGCACACCAGGCCCCTCACGTCCAGTTCGTGGCCCGGGAGCGAGCAGCTCAGCCGGTATCTGGCGGCACCGCTCGCCATGGCCAGCGTGGATCCGGAGCCCGGCTCCGGGGCACAGCGCGAGACTCCTCCACAGGCCCGAGCCGGCGTGCGCCAGGCTGCGGCCCGAGACCCGCCTGCAGGAGAGGGGCGCTGGAGACCGGAAGAGCCAGTCAGCCGGTGCGGAAGGACCGCGGAGGAAGGGGCGCGCCGAGCGGACTGAGTGACACAGCAACCCTAATTTACACACCGGAATTCATCATCCGTCGCAGCCCGCAGTGACGCAGAGTGTGTGCGTCGGGCTGCTGAGGCATCACGGACCGAGACTCTCTCCCCTTCTGCGCCCTGGATCGTGTCCCGAAGAAGAGACGGTGAGATTAGGAAATTCTGCGTAGTCGCCAGAGGTTAGGGTTATGTTAGAACCCTGTCCATTTCAGAAAACCGAAGATCTGTAGTAGTTTAAGGGGGTAAATAGGAACTACAAATCCCACAATGCCGTGCGTCCCAGGTGGCTCACCGGCGCGCTGAATCCGGATGTTTTAAATCTAGGTTCTTAGCCTGACTACTCAGAGTAGTAGAGCGAAATTGCTTGTTTCCCTTACGTCACGATTTGTTTACCCATTTTCTGCATGGCTCTGGAGAGTCTTCCAAGATTTTTATCAATTAATTGCCTTTTCATTTAAGATGACTGAATCTGAAGCCAAAGAGTGGGAACTTTTAATCAACTCGCCTTCACCTCACGCTACCACTATGTTCTTACCTATGGTATCAGGTTTTGCTAATAAATACGGTGGTCCAAGTCCATTCTTCCCTAACGTGACAACTGTTTGCCCGAAGTTTGCCTCAGAAGGTCTAAGGTGAGGCAGAAAATGCCTTTAATTATTTAAAAAGGTATTACTGTATCTCGGGCTAGCCCCAAACTCGTGGTCTCTTGCTCCAATCTCTGAGCGGTGAAATTACAGGTGAGAATACGTATTTTTCGCCAAACTCCGATGGTGTTGATAGATGTCTCGCTACATTGCATTGAGAACATTAGTCTACATTGTAGTAAAGTTAGCTTTCCGTACTGTAGCATAGCATCCATCACACAACAAGCCTTTATTAAGTTGCCAAATCCAATTTGTGTATTTTTCTTCACTCTTCTTAAAAACCTCATTCTAAGCTTGAAAACACTATTTCCTCTCTCACGCGCGAGCGTGCGTGTGTGTATTTCTCTTGACTTTAGCTCTGAAATGCATTATTCCCTTTGTTTGGTAACCCCAATAGCTTTCGTTCTTAAGACTACACTGTTATATAGGCCTTTCCCATTTCCCTAATTTATTTTACTAAGGCCATTTTCCTTAGGTGTGTGTCTGCTTCAGCCATATTGAATTTGTCATCTTTCTCTGAACTGAACACACCATCTTTGAAGTTGGTGTTTCTAGGTTCCTAAAACACACAAACAAACAAACAAACAACTAATGCTATGGGAGGCTGATGCAGGAGGATCATGAGATTGAAGCATAGCATATATACTGAATTCTAGGACATTCTGGCTACAGGAAGAATTCCTATCTTAAGAAAACACACCACCCTGGTTCAACTGGAGAACAACATGTAGAAGAATGCAAATCGATCCATTTTTATCTCCTTGTACAAGGCTCAAGTCTAAGTGGATAAAAGACCTCCACATAAAACCAGATACACTGAAGCTAATTGAAGAGAAGGTGGGGAAGAACCTGGAATTCTTGGGCACAGGGGGAAAGTTCCTGAACAGAACACCAATGGCTTATGCTCTAAGATCAAGAATTGACAAATGGGACTTCATAAAATTTCAAAGTTTCTGTAAGGCAAAGGACACTGTCAATAGGACAAAACGGCAACCAACAAATTGGGATAAGATCTTTACCAATCCTACATCTAATAGAGGGCTACTATCCAAAATATACAAAGAACTCAAGAAATTAGACTTCAGACAACCAAATAGCCCTATTAAAAACTGGGTATAGAGCTTAACAAAGAATTCTCAACTGAGGAAACTCAAATGGCCGAGAAGCACCTAAAGAAATGTTCAGCATCCTTAGTCATCAGGGAAATGCAAATCAAAACAACCCTGAGATTCCATCTCACACCAGTCAGAATGACTAAGATTAAGAACTCAGGTGATAGTAGATGCTGGCGAGGGTGTGGAGAAAGGGGAACATTCCTCCATTGTTGGTGGGACTGCAAGATGGTGCAACTACTTTGGAAATCAGTCTGGCGGTTCCTCAGAAAATCGGACATAGCTATATGTCCTGAGGATCCAGCTATACCACCCCTGGGCATATACCCAGAAGATGCTCTAACATATAACAAGGACATATGCTCCACTATGTTCATAGCAACCTTATTTATAATAGCCAGAAGCTGGAAAGAACCCAGATGTCCTTCAACTGAGGAATGGATACAAAAAAATGTGGTACATTTACACAATGGAGTATTACTCAGCTATTAAAAACAATCAATTTGAGAAATTCTTAGGTAAATAGATGGAACTAGAAAATATCATCCTGAGTGAGGTAAGCCAATCACAAAAGAACACACATGGTATTCACTCACTGATTATTGGATATTAGCTCAAAATCTTGAAATACCCAAGATTCAACTCACAGATCACATGAAGCTCATGAAGAAGGAAGACCAAGTGGGGGTGTTTCGGTCCTTCTTAGAAGGAGTAACAAAATACTCAAGGGAGCAAATATGGAGACAAGGAACAGAAACTGAAGGAGGGGCCGTCTGGAGACCATTTCACCTGGTTATCCATCCCATGTGCAGTCACCAAAGGTAGATGCTGATGTGGAAGTCAGGAAGTGCATGCTGACAGGAGCCTGTTATAGATGTCTCCTTAGAAGTCTTCAAGAGTCTGACATATTCAGAGGCATATGCTCACAGCTAACTATTGAACTGATCATGGGGTTCCAATGAAGGAGTTAGATTGAAGACTATAGGAGCTGAAAGGGTTTGCGGCCCCATGAGGAGAGCACTAATACCAACCAACCAGAGCTCCCAGGGTCTAATCAGCCTGGGAGCACATAGGGAGAGATCCATGGCTCCAGCTGCATATGTAAAGGAGGAGGGCCCTGTTAGGCATAGGTGGGAGAAGAGGTCCTTGGCCTCATGAAGGCTGGACGCCCCAGTGGGTGGGAATTTGAGGGTGTAGGGGAATGAGGCAGGGTTGGGTATGGTGTTACAAGTACACACCTTCATTCCAGCACTTGGGGCAGAGGCAGGAGAATGTCTGAGTTTGAGACCAATCTTGTCTACATAGTGAGACCCTGTCTCAAAAAAAAGAAGAACATGGTTTGATGTCTTACATTTTAAATCCCAGTACTTGAGAGGAAGAGATAGGTGAATCTCTGAGTTTAAGGCTAAACTGGTCTACAGAGCAAGTTCCAGGACAGCCAGAACTACACAGAAAAAAAAAACTTGTTTCACAAAAATCAAAATAAATAAATAAAAATACACAGATAAAGTTACATATTATAGTTTTTGTTCTCAGTATGGTGTTTTTAGTATGACTTTGTTTAAAAAAAAAAGGCTAAATTCAGCTGGACTCAGGAGGCAGAGAGAGGCAAATTTCTGAGCTTGAGGCCTGCTTGGTCTATATAGGGAGTACCAGGATAGCCAGGACTACATAGAGAGACCTTGTCTCAAAAACAACAAAAACTCAAATTCATTATTGAAAAACTAATGTAAAAGATATGGAAATAAAGTTGGGGTCAGTATGGCCCAAAGTGGGTAACTTAGGACAAATTTTGCCAAACTAAGTACAAGGAATTTTAGCAATTAGTAATGACATTTGGTGTATCATTGGCATGTACATGGGTATGAAATTATGATAATAGAATATAAATAGGAAACTCTAGCCTCCTCTTTGTTTGCTAGCATAAACTGACAAAATCAAATATGATAAAAGGTATATGGATTGCATATACAGAAGCAATCACATAGTACAACTGCTCATGACCCCTAAATGATTCATGAGTGGACAATGTTTTGACATTGCTATATGGCACTGCCATCTTCAAATCTATTGGGACACATTAGAAGCTATCCTGTGGCCCACGGGCACATGTTGGTCATGCATGATAGATGTTGATATACCTCGTATGTATAGGTGTATTGAGTTTTTGTTTATCTTTCTAGAAGCTGAACCCAGGGTTCACATGAGCATGGTAAGCACCTACTAAGCTATATTTCCAACCCTCTTCATGTCTAAAGGGAAAAGGTATTTGGAGTTACAGAAAATATTAAGTGGCTCTAAGCAGATTTGTAAAAAGTCAGTAAGTTTGAAAAGCATCCAATGCTGGGACAAAGTCTGGCTGACCCAAAGGACAAACCTCAGTCTGAGTGATTCTCAAAGGGATAGTTGTTTGTGACAAAAATATGTCCAGCTATGCTGACAGGCTTTTTTCCTGCAATATGAGTTTAGTTTTCTCTGGTTAATGAGATTTTTCAGTAGAAAGACTCAGGCTTTCTGTTCCTCTTGGCTGCTCTGATCAGGTTGAAAGGTAACTTTGCTGAAAGTTTCTTCCTGCATTGGAGGTGGGGGAAAGTGCAGGAAGTTCCGAAGGACCTCAATTTTAAGGTGGCTTTAATTTATCAATGTACTATACTTCAAATCAAATTGCAGAATATTTTAAAAGAACATTTTTAGGAAAAGTGTTCTCTTAGGTCTCAAAGAATTTTAACTTCTTTGGCTAAAGTGCCAAATGCTTGGATTAAGATATCAAAATATAGGTGATCCTCAGCTTATAAAGGAGCTGCTTTCCCACAAGTTGCAAATGTCGTAAGCAAACATGTATTTAAGAAGCCAGAGAGATAGCTCAGCAAGTAGAGACGCTTGCCATCTGACTCCTACATTTGATCCCCAGAACCTCCGTAAAGGTGGTAGAGAAGAACTGACTCCACAAAGTCATCCTCTGATATACACACACATTGATGTGTACACCTCTGCAAGCACACACGCACACACACACACACACTCACACACACACTACTCATAGTAACTAAAACTTTCAAAAAATGCATTTAACATTAAATCGAGCTATCAAGTATTATTGTTAGCCTAGTCTACCTTAGATATACTTAGAACATTTATATTAGCCCGCTGCTGAGCAAAAGCTCTTGGCACAAATTGTATTTGATAAGGAAAAGTTGAATAGTTCCTATAGTCTGTTGATTAATCACACTCAGAACAATTATACATTTGTGA